GCGGCACCTTTACGTGTCTGTCCGCAAAGGTCAGCCTCCTCAAAACCTCCTATGGTCCCTTAGGACCAACAAAAGATAAAACGGGTTAGAGAAAGTGTCTCACTCGGGATCCACAAGCAATTATTTCAGTAAACACTTCATAGCATGCAAATTACAAACATACTTTACAAGCTCTGAACGGTCACGCAACAAAGGGTCTAAAATGGTCCACTACAGACCGAAAGAAAATGGGGTTGCTAAGCCTACTGCCAACCCTTTACATGCTGTGCAAAGTATGAACAAACCAAAAGACACAGACATACTTAAGTATTATGTCGAACACCCCATTGACAATTTTATCCGTGACAATGGGTCCCTCATTCTGATGGAGTGGACTCATCTTGCATTGTGCCAAAGATGAAGGGAGCTTCGAGGCACATGCACCTCATCTTGACGAAGCATTTGGTGGAGAAACTAAGGCGACTCAACTTACGAAGACGAAGTTGGGGTCAAAATGCCTTGGCACGGGTACTTTTGAAGAATATGCCACAGTGCTGCCATTCGAGTTGCCACGAAGGAAGCGGTGTGCACGAAGATTATGTTGGGGGCAGAGGCCCAGGATCCAAACTATGACGTACTAATTTTAATGTAGTTGGTGGACTTCGAGAGTTGCTAGGCGACGGACTATCCTAGACATATGTTTCGTCTGAGTATGACCCAAGAGCAGGTGGACGAAGGTTGATTATCAAAGGAGCAAACACAATTGCAGGTGGTAGAGGCCCTGCGATGTGTTGGTAGAGGCCACACATGGAGAGATCGGAGTCTGAGTTTATCCCACAAATCAAGATACAATGGAGATGTCACCAGGAGGTGACATGGTGCAATGGATCATGATGGAACAGTTTGAGGCAATGCGACACAGACGAGAGAAATCCCGTGAGGGACTTGATCATATGGAGGAATGATCGGGAGCTACTGAGAGCTCCAGTTCGGTGAACAACATGATGGCAATAACGATTATGAATTCAAGGAGTGACTGTCATGGTACCACAGATACGGGTCTTTCGTGCGTGTATTGAATTTTTCATCGGATGAAAACCTTGGTTATAAGCATACGAGGATTGTGTACCACCGATGGGGAACTCCGAGTGAAAGTACCAAGGAGTCCTTATGTGGGAGGCTTGATCATATAGAGGTATGATATAAGCGGTTGGAGAGTTAGATTGCTCTAAAGTTCATATTCGCTTAAGGGATCCCGGTAAGTCAGAAGACAAGGCCGAGTAAATGAACGTTGCTACCAAGGAAGCTAAGGAGAACAAAATCGGTGCGAGCTCTGCAATATGATGGTGGAGGTCATATATAGGAGCTGCAGCTTGTCTTTTCATCGACCAAGGGGAACTGCTCAGAGAACACAGAGGTGTTGAAGTAGGTGGTCGAAAGAGGCGAGGAAGCAATGACGAGTCCAAAGGGACATAACTACCCGAAACCAAGTGTCGGTTAAAATGGAGGTGGACTCAAAGGAGTGCTATAGTGTCGCCGAAGTGGATCTATTCAATTGTGAAGAAAGGGACATAAATACTAGGCAACGAATAGTAGGCCATGGTCATGGCAATGCCATGATATCGTAGAGTGGGACTTCCGTGTCAGTATATAGTGCTTCTCATCAAAATAGCCGAAAGTGGAGGACTTTGAGTTGATGCAGGAGTGCTCGACTATGAAACGAAGTAGGCAGTATGTAGTGTTGTACCTTTTCTACTTAGAGGAGTAGGCGACATAGATGATGGAGAAGATGATACAATCCCATAAGCGACCAAAACTTCTTGCATTCCAAAAGTTTGATGGTAGTGAGAAGGCGAATCGCAGTAGTTAACTCAACGCAAGGAGTGCAAACACTTTGGGTACTTCGAAAGTGTGAACAAAGAGCAGACGCAGGCTAGTAACCAGCTCGATGCATGGAGTACAACCCTTGCGGAGGCGGGCGAAGTCGAGCAACCTTTGCCTTCTCAACTTTTAAGAGAATATGTGAAACCAAGTACCCCAGTTCTCTTATATATCCAACAAAAGAGCTATGCATATGTTCAAAGACCATTTGAAGAAACTTAGTGGAAGACAATAATTGTTAAATCCTTACCAATGGTGATCGGTGCTACTGAGAGTAGACTGCCCACTTCATTTTCCAACAAAATGCTAATCGAAAGTGGAAGTGATGCAAACTTACTTGGAGGCGACAACTAAGTAGATGAGGAATAGATGGTCTAATTTTGTGGAGGAAAGATCCTAAAAACTTTAAAGTCTGCGAGGCAATGCTCATTAAAGCTCCAACAAGTATTCACCTAGTTTAAGCGGCATGAGACGTTTAAGAGATTGACGCATAACAAGGAAGGTATTTTCCTTTATCTAAAGGATACATTAGAACCAATAAGGATTAGCACAAATCGGCCAACCCCACATCAGAGTCAAAGTCATTGGCAACTTGAAGCAGTGTGGTGGATCAAAGTCCGACTTCTTAACAATAGCAACGGAGAGTAATTGAGAGCCAAGGGGCACGTTGCAAACAGAGCAGAAGATTGAAGATTCAGTAAAGGTGAGGAGATGCAGCGTTCACAAAGGTTTCGAAGAGGACGTTGAAGGAATAAGTGGGGGAGAATATCATGGACAAAACTATAAAAGGGGTGTTCGATGTAATACTTGTGTATGCTTGTGTCTTTCAGTTTTGTTTATGCTTTGCACAGTATGTAAATGACTTATAGTAGGCTTGGTAGCCCTATTTTGGTTGGTTTTTATGGTCGTTTCAAGTTTGTAAACTCTCAGGTTATGTGCAGTCATCGTGTAGAGGCAAAACTACTTAGAAATAGGCCATTCAGGTAGTCATTTCGAGGGTTTTCTAGCTTTGCAGAGTGGTGTGGAATGTCAGCCAGTACAACACCTAAGAGCTATCCAGGTGGCACATGAGTAGATGGGCCTTTAGGGTAGTATCTAAGGTTGGTTCACTGTTTTGTTCGTAGTAGTGTCATATGGGCATTTATAAGGACTTTTGGTCATAGCGGACTACCTTGGACCCTTTGTTGTGCGATCATTCAGAGCTTACGAAGTCTATGTTTGTAATTTGCATTGTCTATCATGTGTTTGCTAAAATGACTGCTTATGGATCCTGAGTTAAATGCTTTCTTTATCCCTTCTTTTTTTTGTAGGTCCTTAAGGGATCATAAGAAGTTTCAATGAGTCTAACCTTTTACGGACGGACACGCAAGAGTACTGCACGACTTAGGCACAACCATCTAAGTTTGTGACAATTGGTTAAGTGTCTTTGGTTCATCAAGTAGTTTGACTCGATGTTGTTTGGCTCCTTCCATCACGTTCTAACTGAGGGGGATCTTCCTCCTACTGGGGAAGTTATTCCTCTTCTTCTATTACCTTAGTGATAAAACGTTAAGAATGTGAAGGATCTCCCACCTCATCAAGCAAATGATTCTCTTGGTTTTTCATTGCTTCGACCCAATTCTATCATCGGTTGTGAATCTTCATTGTAGTATTTAAGGTCGACGAGATCAATCTCTGATTCCTCTAGCTCCTTGTCCAACTCGGCAAACCGTAATCTTAGCCGCATGTTTTAGTAGACATATACTAGTTTCTTCAATTGTTTTTATGATAATTTGTTACAAATTTTCATGTGAATCAATGCGAATGTTAACTAGTTACATTCGTAAATTTGGTGCGGATCCTCTAAATTAGTCTTTAGAGCCTGTGGCTTCTAAATTTGTTTATTCTTCCTTTCATATTTCTTCCTTTTTTGTGTTTTTATTTTATCAATAAAATGAATTCTGGATAGGCAAAAACCTATCTTTTGCCTCAGATAACAGGATTTAGACTTTAGAGTATTCAAGACAAGTTATCTTTAAATGACATGTGCCTAGATGCTAGGCAACCCAATTTCTGAACCTTTCTGTTTCCAACATGTGTATCCTCTTGATTACCTGCTTTGAATTACTTAAACTCTGGGTTTTTAGTGGTCATCTTGATACTTATTATCATCTAAATACAGTTTATGAATTTTTACCTAAAATTTATTAAAATCCAAACCTTATACATGATAGAAAGTCTAGGTCATTAAACCAAAAATAAAATAACAACTTTTGTAAAACTACAAAATAATAAAGTGTCATTTTCATTTATTTTTCTTTGTTATTTCATGTCACAATCAAAACTGAAGTTCGGGGGTAAGCAAATGATAACAAGGACATTTTTGTTGAAGTAATGTGTTTTTCATATAGTTCCAATAAATACAACATAAACTGTAAAATATTATGAGATAGTAAAACTTAGTCAGGAATGAAGTAAAATGGAAGCTAGAAATTTTAGTCAAAATATATTCAACAATTGGGAAATGTTGGTCTGTTAGAGCATGTTGCTATGTCCAATTAAGTAGAAAATCCAGAAGAGTTTTGTATAGGCATCTCTTTTTTTGTTTTGAGGAAAGCATACTTGTGTCACCTTTGTATTGCAGATAATGTAACATCTTTTCCTGAACTAGATTGCTTCATTTCTTGTCAAATATGTATTGCAGATCTCTTGCTTATCATGTATTTTCATAGAGCATTAAACCATGAGCATATTAGTAATAGTTGTTTTTCAATCTTGTATACTTTGGCTTTTTCATATTTTTTTTTCTCTTATTCAATAAGATCTTTAGTTTGCACTTGCTTCTTGATTCCTGGAAATATGACTTTAAAGAGAAGGAAAGTAGTTATCCCAGCTGTCTTATATATGAGTTACTGCCACAAGATGTTGGTAATGATGTAGTTTAAATCTTTTGTCACTATGTACTTTTCCTGCTGAAGCTGTGGACTTAAACCGTTCTAAGTGATCTGACAGTTCTTTGAAAGACTAGCGATATGAGTATGCAATACTTGATGATAACTACTATATGTATCATGTCCTCATTGGCCAAATTTACATTAAAGATATGCAGTTATTGGATTTTTGCATTCTTTTGACTTTTTGCAGTATTGATTTCTGTGCAGGGTTCTTATTATCTTTAGAAATGGACTTATTAGCTTATGGGGAATTCAAGAAAGTAAAGTATTGCTTGTTGCTGGTGGAAATGCACAACATTCATCGCAGGAACCAAAGCTTGTTGTATCAGCATCCTGGGCATGTGTCTTTGGAAGTAAAGTTGTTGTTGGATATAGTAGCGGAGATATATTTCTTTGGGCCATACCAGTATTTTTAGATCATAATAGTGAAGCACTACGGAATCATAAGGACTCTTATGCTTCTCAAAATGTTCCTCTTCTTAAGCTCAACCTAGGATATAAGATGGACAAAGTCCCTATAGTTTCTTTAAGGTGGTTTGCCCACGATGAAAGTTCAGGTCATTTGTATGTTAATGGTTTCAGTGATTCTGGATCTTCTCATTCCTTTCAGGTACAAACTTTCTGGTCTTCGATATTCTAAAAGTTTGTTGCTTATCACATGTCAAACATTTTGGATTCTTGAATATATCAATCTCAGACAGGTTCCAGAATTTCTTAGAAATAGTGCACTATTGGGGTATTTGGATAACTGACATAATACAAGACTCACGACTGAAGCATATGAAATCAGAGTTCCTTTTTTACCAGTGTTTATGTTTAGTGGACTGTATCTTTAAGTGCAAGACACAAAAATCCAACTCGAAAAGTTGATATATAGTTGATGTTTGAGACAATTGTGGTGTTCGACATATATATTAATATATAAATATATTAGAGTTGGAGGTTAAAGAATGTTCCACTGAGTCTTGAAACTTGCTCTTTTGTAGCTTTGGGGATAAAAATTTGGAACTATGCTTGGTAAAATAGGAAATATTCTTTTTTATAATACTTAAACTTTTAAGGGTAGAAATCGAGGATGGATATTACTTTGGTTTAGATGTTATGAAATTTATTATATGATATGACATACTTAGAAGTTAAAACTATATTTTGAATACTGATTGTTTGCTCAAACATCAATGTGAACTTGTTGTATGTACATTGCATATGTAGAACCTTAAAGTTTTTCTACAATTGTTCATCAGTATGCTCCAGGATGCACACCCAATCATTTTCCCTATTAAACTAATTTTGTTGTTTTTTTCTTCTGGTTAAGGATTCTTTTTACAGGTGAAATTTGAATAGCATAAAAGGTCTCTCAAATATGTTTTTTCTTTTTTTTAACTAAGTACAGGTCATTATTATTAATGAGAGCACTCAAACTAGAACAATCAAGTTGGTGCTTCCATTGACTGAACCTTGTTTAGGAATGGAAATTGTTTCATGCTTCAGCAACCAAAGCAAAAACAAACAGAATACTCTGGTTCTCTTGCTTAGATCAGGCCGCTTATGTCTCTATGATGATTCAGCAATTGAACAGTATTTGTTGCACTGTCAATCAAAATCACCCCCAACTCTTCCAAAGCAGTTTATGGTGACACTGCCATTTGGTGACTCTAGAATCACTGCTGCCAAACTGTACATAGGCCCATCAAGTCCTGTGGAAGAGGTATGTTATATGTTATTAGGTACACCTCAATGATTATATTTCTCTGTTCTGTTAATATGCCATCATAAATATCTTTTGATTGTTGCAACAGTCTGTTGCTATGCAGGACCATATATTGTTACCCAACAAATATTCCTCTCTCTTCTCAATTAATATGAAGGAAAAAGATGGAAGTCGTCGAAGTTCTGCACACTTTAGCGGTTTTTCGAAGGCAAAAAACCTTTTGGTTACCGGGCATGTTGATGGAGCTATCAACTTTTGGGATGCATCATGCCCCCTTTTGTTTCCACTTTTGTCAATAGAGCAGCAGGTATTTTTATATTAGAGTATGTATTGGAGTTGTTACAGAATATGGATATGTATTAGATCCTGGAGAACTTTTGTTGATCAATTTGACAGTCTTTTCTGATTTACATTTTTATGTCAGTTTAATGAAAGTTGTGCTTCATCAACTGCTCCAGTTACATCATTGCATTTTGATGTTTCTTCACACATCCTTGTATCTGGCGACCAAAGTGGATCGGTAAGCTGCTTGCATTGATAAAAATAAAATAAACTGTATTGATGAATCTGATACTTTGTTTATGCATTAAGCTTGTTGGTTTTGCAGATTCGCATTTTCATCTTCAAAAAATTGCAGGAAACCTCAGAAAGCATTTTTTCATTTCTGCAAGGTAATACTTTAATTATCTATTGAAAATTTATTAGCCAATTACCTTTTCCATCATATGTGATTGAGATTTAAAATCCTCAAGTGGATACATGTAATTATGGTGTTCATTTACTCACACTAGGAGAAACTTAATGAAACTTAAGATGTTTAAAAGTTTGCAGATTAATATTCTGGAATTAGTGATACAGCCACATTATATCATCTAACCTCTAGCAAAGTGTGGCAATAGACAGACTCAAGCGAGGATTTAATAAATATAAATCTAGATTAGAAACATATAGGTGTTTGGTTTGATCCAGTAAAAAATATAACCTATAGAGTTATTTTTTTTCAATATGCATTAATTAATGGATATACACACTTGCCATTCATTTCTCTCTTCATAATCATGGTTTGTCTTGTTAAGATGCTATATAATGAGTTCCAAAAAGCCAATATATCTTCATTTGAGCATTTAGGGACGTGCATTATTTGACATATGTTATTAGACATGTAAGGCTGACTAAACATATGTTATTATACATGTAATTCTCTTGGATCTTGATGATGTTGCATGAAAGAAAATCTTTTGACTTTCCTTCTTTAGTGGTTTAATCCAAGGTTTGAAATATCGTATCGTACCGGTGTTTCGACATTCGCTCGGTACGGTACGATGCAGTATACCGAGCAGTATATCGTTCGGTATACTGCTCAGTATATATATATATATAATTCGGCAACATCGCCTCTCTCTTCTCCCCAAGCGAGGCGACGTCGCC